GCAAACCCACACGCCCCAAAGGTGGGGTAACCGCCCCATCCACCTTCCAAAAGATCGAAACGTTTCGAAATGACAGGGAGACACACATTCTCCTGCAATTCTGTGGAATTCATTTTGTAATGACTGCGCCTACGAATCAATGAAAGCTTTCGAGAAAGCAGGGAATTTGTCCTGAATCGGTTTATAATGCATCGCGATGCACCATCCTGCATGGTGAGAAAAGAAGAGTTGCTGTCACTGTTCCCGAGGCTGGGGTTTATTTTTTTAGGAGATAACTGTCAACTTGCAGCAGTATTTGATTGCAGCGCTTGACTGATAGAACAGGCAGCGGCTGCATCTTTCAAGCTAAAGAAACATTTTTGCTCAATAATTAATCATTTCCAAGAGAAAATGGACTTGCCTCGGATGAAAACACTGAAGGAATGTTAGGGGAAATGTGCATGTTTTGATGAATAAATTGTGTTGTCTGCTGATACTTTACGGGACGTGTTTTTGTCTTCTTTTAGTTCACTGAGCTTTTTGCTCACAAAGGAAAATGCGCTCCTTGTCATGAATAGCCTCGTGAAATGGTCACCTGTACAAAGGCAAATTCTCACTTCGCTCCTTGTCATGAATAGCCTAGTGAAATGGTCACCTGTACAAAGGCAAATTCTCACTTCGCTCATTGTCATGAATAGTGTAAGAATGCACCGTTTTCCCCTTGCCTCACAAAGAATATGTACCAGTCTAGAGGTACGGTGTTCACAAAGAATATGTACCAGTCTAGAGGTACGGTGTTCGCCTCTCATTCCATAGATTTTGGGTTCGAAACCTGTCACCGACGCACATTTTTCTGATCTAATTTTTTCCCCTGTCATATTATTTCTTGCTCTCTAGTCATGTTCTGTCGTTTGCTTTCGTCTTCACTTTCTGTCCCCACCCCACCCCCACCCCCTCCCACCATTCCTCTTTTTGCCCCACTTTTTGGCTCATGACTCTTTCTGCCGCCTTTCTACTGCTGCTCCTTGGCTCCATCTTACTGTGTCTTTCAGCCACTTCCCGGATCTTAGGGTAGGCAAGATCTAACACCTAGCCTTAGCGGAGAAGGGCAAAAAATCTCGGAAGTCACGAGTGCAAGTTGCTCACATTTAAGATCCCTTGGTGGTATTAAAATCGATAAGAGTTGGCTCAAAATTAATTCACACCAAACCTGAACAGGCTTAATGTGTCCCGCGCTCTCGTATGACTGTATGCAGTAGCAAACGCCGTAAAACACTGGCTTTTGTAGCTTTAAACAAAGATAAACTTCTCGCTCATCAGCCAACCCTATGCGTGTTACACCCGCAGACCTGAGAGTATTCTGAAACAACCCCAACTTCCTGGGAGGCATACAGTGAAAGCTGCCATTCTATAGGTGCTAAAACACTAACATACTGACAAGATCTTTCGCCATTTATAGCCCGTTAGCCTTTGGCACTTGGGTGAAGAAAGGGGGGGGGGGTGGTGGTGGGGTCGGCAGATGAGCAAAGTTCAGTAGGTACCAACAGATATGACGTCAAGCGATTCAAGTAAGACTTCTCATAGACCAGAAACGACGTCTTTTATTTTAATGGGGTGACCCAATTTTTTATTTTCAGTTTTATTTTTTGGTGTTTTTTTAAAAGTTTTGGATATATTTGCTTTAAATGACTTACCGAGAGTGACATCGGAGACGTCTCTGGATAGATACTGTGAAGTCTCCGGATAGATACTGTGAAGTCTCCGGATAGATACTGTGAAGTCTCCGGATAGATACTGTGACTTCTCTGGATATATACTGTGGCTTCTCCGGATAGATACTGTGAAGTCTCCGAATAGATACTGTGGTTTTCTTCCAAAAAGCTACGAAAGGTGGGTGTCACCAGCAAAGAAATATTGTGAGTTAACTCAGGTGAAATTCTGAGGTCTTCTAGGGGTCTGGTTTGGTCTAAAACCCGACACAACGATTTACCGGCGTAGAACGACACACAGCGGAATGTAATGCTTCGAAACCGAGCTGTTCAAACATAGAAAAAGACAAATTTATTGAAAGACAGAAGAGAGTAGATAGATAGATAGATAAATAGATAGATAGATGGATAGATAGATAGATAGATAGATAGATAGATAGATAAATAAATAGATAGATAGATAGATAGATAGATAGATAGATAGATAGACAGATAGATATATCTATCGGTTACAAAATGCTGAATCCCCC